AGTTATAGTTGGTAACACCTAGAATTTGTGCATGAGTAGCCATTTGGGTAAAACCATTTACTGAAGAAGAAAAATAATAAATTATAAGATCTCTATAATTATATTTTTTGAAATCTACAAACATATTAGAACACACCTTTCTAAAATGACAGGAAATCTTGTGCGATAGTCTCAAATTTGGCTGAAAATTTGAGAACATTGTTAATGGGTACTTTGAGCTAAATCATTTTGTTACTAGACAGATCCAATCGACCAGTCTGAATTATAAATTAGATGTGCATGTTTTTAAAAGATGGGTTAATTTAAAATTTTGTACTGAGATATCTGTTTTGTGAATTCTCTTTTAGATGTATTCTTCAAGAGATTGGGTTCTCTAAACTGCAGATCAGATTTGAATTAATAAAACATTTATTGTACAGTTAATTTGGATATATTTAAAACCAATACAACTTTATTTGAATAGAAGCTTTCTTTCAACAAATATTATAATCATAATTTTTAAAATATTTATAAATCTATCATTTAATTTTAAACTCTTTTGGATTCTTCACCTGCTTCAATTGCACACAATAAATGCTCAATTAAATTATGTGCTTTTCATTTATCTACATACAGTGATCAGTAAAAGTTTCTTTACACGCATTGGTTGAAAATAATTCTTTATCTTTACTCATTTATTCATAAACTCTTTGTTAAGAGCTAAATTATTTTTCGCATTAAGTTTATGAGAAGTCTTTTTCTGTTCACTCTGACTTTAAATACATATTGTTTTAATATTCTCCAAATCTTATCTGGTCCAGCTTGTTTTCCTTATTGTCTGCATTAATTCCTGTGGTTATTTTCGTAGACTGTTAAGAGCACTGTGGCAAAAATGAGTATAAAACAAACATTCAAATCTTCCAGGACAATAACCCTTAGCTTCAAGCTCTTTATCCTAATAGAATATCCTGCTATATAATTATCCAAATAAAGGTGAAGTTCCTCTCCAGAGTTCAGATTAAAATCATATCAAACATTTATGGGTTTGCATCGATTTACAGTTCATAAATGAATACATACCACTAGTAAAATAACTTAAGATAAAAAAAATAAGGGATATAACCATCCACATTGATCCCAACAATGCCCAAACAACTTAAAATGATACTAAAACACAAAGGGCTTCATTTAAGATATTAATTTAAAACTTTTGACTAAAATAAATACATAACTTATAATATAATATGAAAATGTGTGAAAAATTTTGCTGGATCGAAATTCTTCTTTTATATTTAAAATATCCTATATATTATTTCTAAAAGGTGTTTTTTTGTCGGTACGCCATAACTTTGTCAATTCTTCATCAAATCCAATGACTGATCATTCATTTTGAAGATATTCTGCTCCTTCACATGAGTCCTAAAATATAGTCCTACCTCCCCCCTTCCCCCCCGAAATTTCTGGAAAAAAAGTTATGGAAGAAAAGAAACTTTATTTACGAATAACTCAAAAAGTTTTTCTCTGATTGTACCCATGATAATTAGAAAGATTTCTAAATTACCTACAAAACAAAAAAAAAATTGTAAAATTCGGACAATTATTAACAAAGATACAATCCATTAGTTTTGGTATACTCAATAATGTCTTCCTGTTTAAAGATATTGCATTTAGAAGTAGAATAGTCTACTACATTTTTTTTCCTGGCTTTTATATCAACTTTTTTTATTTCTTAAAGACATTTGGTTTTTACATTTTATTTTTTTTTAATAATTTAGAATATCCTCTGATTGGGGCATTAATTTGTCTTTATTACTTTTATTATCTTTCCAGTCAGCATATAAAAATAGGTCCTAGCAATGAAATTTGTATAAATATTTTGGTCTATTATGTTTAATGAAATATTGTAATCAACTAAGGAAAAAATGTTAATTCCTTCCTAACATAATACATAGGAACTACTTATTTCCATATTGTTTTAATATTTCTTCACTAAACAAAATTATCTGTGAATTTTTCGCACGGGCCATCTAATAGTATTTATTGTTAGACCATATTATTAATAAAAGTAGTATTGAAGTTATACCTAGACGTTTAAATAAAGAAATATGTAGTAAAGAATTGTTTTGTTTTCAACCAATGTATACATGAAAACTTTTGCTGGACACTGTATTTATTCTATCATAAAATCTTTTCTAATTATTAACAAAATATAACAATTTATAATATACTCTACTAGGAAAATTTAAATCGTATCATGGACAGAAATCTTCTAAACAACCCCATAATGCACTTATGACTCAAAAGCCTTATCAAAATATTTCTTACGCATAATCTATATTTCATGTGATAAAAAAAAATATTACAAAAACAAATAAATTCTGAAAGATGACCTCAGCCCCCTAGAAATAAATAACAGCGACCTAAGCTGGTATTAAGATAAAAACGATTAATTCTGTTGGTTTTACTCATTAAAGAATTAAAGACAGGCTTTAATCCAGAAAACATAATAACAAATACAGTTAATACTAATTAATTGGACAGAAATAATGTGAGGTTGATCTCTCAGATTATTTCGAATGCCTATGATAAGAAAATAAGTCAAGACATATTTAATAATGACCAAAAAAAGAATGGCCTATTTAAATGAGTAAAGAGAATAGTTCTAATCTATACCAATACACATGATGTTTCGTAAGTAGAGGGAAATATTCAAAAGGTTGATAGGAGACATTAAGACCCACACAAAAGTTCATATAAAGTAGGAAATTTAATTGGTTTTTAGGCAAGTCAAGTTTTTTGTTGAATAGGAAGCGATAACTTAAAAAATATTTGATTTAAGTAATGAAACATTGCTCCATAGTAAACTAGACAAAAATTAGAGTTTGCCATTGTTAAATCAATTTAAAGAGGACTATTGGGCGGACAGACAGAGCAACGTTCCGTTTTCAAAAAAGTCATAAATTATTTGAGTTTTTTTTTTTTAATCACTCTGTAACTGTACTACATTTACCCCACTTTTAGGAAAACTTCCTCATTTAATAAGTTTTAAGTCGATATTAATTAAGTTGAGGTTGATTATGAAAAATTTTGAGATTCACCTCATGTAGAGAAATGATGTGATTTTTTATCCTTCAACTAAAAATACCATTGTTTTCTGCAAAAATGACTACAATTAACTGTTGCAAAGGTTTTATTTCTTGTTTTCCATGTTATGGGATGTATTGTCATAAACATAATTGCCTAAAAACAAATTTTATTAATAAAATTCAGAATTATGTTTTTTCAAATATTTTTTATGCAAGGTGGCTATGAAATTGTGTTTTTCTCCCAGATTTCTGTCATCGGAATTGATACGTATTTATAAATGTCAGACATGTTTCTAGCCCTTATATTTATGTTTTCATGAAAATAATTGAAGGAATTAGTAGGTTTCTTTATTTTTGTAAGAAACGTTTATTTATAAGTCACTTACAAATACGCATAAATTCCTATAACAGAAATCTGGAAGAAAAACACAAATATTTTTAAGTTATCACTTCCTATTCAACAAAAAACGTGACCGGTATAAAAAATACAAATCTTAAATTTCCCACTTTCTGCTGGAAACTGGGCAATTGTTTATACAAACTTTTTTGTAGACCTTAATGTCTTCTATCAACCTTTTAAATATTTCCCTCTACTCACGGGACCCAGTATAAATATACCATTTAATTTATATATATATATATATATCTCCTTTATATATATATATATATATATATATATATATATATATATATATACACACCAATATATAAAGCCAAGGACACTGGGCAATTTATCAAGCACATCGATATATCTGCCCTATGTTGTTTTTGGAAAGAAACAGAAGCTTACCTTACTCAGGCCTATTAACTCAAGTTAAATGTCCCACTAGATGAAGGAAAGTTCCAGGTGGATTTCACATTGATAATGGTCAATATTTTGACCAGGATGTGCTGAGCCTCTTACTTTTCTAATAGTTTTATTCATATATTGGTTCCCCATATATTTAATAAAATAAATTTATTATAAACACAACCTTCTTTAGGTTATTCATATTTTTTAATTATTATATTTAATCTATATATGATTGTTATTATAAAAACCCTTATTTTTGTGGGATTAAAAAGGGTTTTCATTAAAAAATAATCATATATAGACTAAATATAATTACAATAAATTATTTAATTTATCGCTCAATTTTTATTATGTTTCACAAGATTAATTTGTGATCAAATTGTTTTCTTGATTCGTTACCAAGATATTTACAGTAAATAATTAATAATAGAACAAACTAAAAATAAATTAAAACTAAAAATACTGTTAAAACCGTAGTATTGTAGGTTTTCTTTAATTTTTTTTCTGGGGGAGGGATTGGTTGTTTAATTTTTCTACAATTGTCTAACATTATTCAGTTGATCAGATGCACATATACTCAACATGTGTCTGAAATATGCATGTATTATCCAAATTTAACGGGGGTGCAACTTCAGTCACAGACAGTAAAATATAAAATTCAGAAGTTCTTTCATTCCCCGTCATGATCTAAGACTTAAATATATCTTAATATTTAAACATTTCTGTGGTGCTGAGGATAAGAATGATAACGAATTGGATTCAATTTACAGATTCTTTGATGATAATATTGCAGCTATGGCTGAGGAATTAAATAGTATCAAATGTCTAATATTAATAAGACTAATAACATCTAGTCACCAAATACCATTAATCAGGCAGTGAACTGATTTGTTAAGTCTTACCAAGCCATAAAACAATTTTTAAATATTAAAAAATTGAAGCAGATCCACTTAGGTGTTTAAAAAACAGGCCTAAAAAAAGTAGTTAAAGCAGCATACAAGAAAATTTCACCTACAAGATTAGAAAAAAAATAAACATGAGGTTTTTAAAATTATGGGAAAAATCAATTGGAAAAAACAAACAAAAATTAAAATGTAAAGGTTTACACATTTATTAGAAACTTATTCTTTTTTTTTTTTTTTAAAACATCTTATGACAGAGATTCAAAGTTTTATAAACAATGAATCGGTTAAGTACAGAGCTGTACAAATGATGAGCTAGATCATTTCTTTTTTTTATGTTTAAAATATAAAAGTAAATTATTAACATAAAAATAATCGGATTCACTTTTCAGCGATTTTTAAAAATAAATAGTATAAAAGAAAAAAATAACACTTTTCTCTCCTTCAGGTCAAAATCCAACACTAACCACTAATATCACATGGAAGGCACTTTCAGAACCAATTTAAATAAATGATAAATGCACCTTTTAATAACACAAACATTAATGGAATGAGAGTAGATTTCTTTAATACAGTACATGAAATGGGAAAGTGCTTGTATCAGTTTAGGTCTGTATACCAAGTGCTTCCTTCAACAGGTCTTCTACATTCTTTTTCTCTTCTGATTCCTCTTCAGTCGCTGAAAAGTAATGACACATAAGTTAAGAGCAAGACAGAATTTATTTGAATTATATTAGAGCCTTTCAGCTGACAGAATGGTTAACTCCTATTTAAACATTTTCCAGTACAATAGTTGTAGTGTTTTTCATTAAAAATATCTTAATTTTTCAAAATCAGCAGTAATTAATAATTGAAGGTAAATATTTCTGCCATACTTTTGAAAAAAAAAGTAAAAAATTTTCTAAAAAAGAAACAGAAATATAATTGATACTAATTTAATGAAAAACTGTTAAAATTGGAGTTGGCCAATTGAAAGGCTAATATATAAAAAATAAGTCTTTATGTACCAATTAATTCCTGTTCTAAGTGCAATTTCTCCTGTGCTTTCTTATAAATATACTCTTCCACTGTACCTTCACTAATGAGTCGCATAATATGAACAGGCCTGAAAAATAAAACATGAGGTCTTATTGTATGATTTCTCAATTAAAAGAAATTATTACAAGATAAATTACTGATACTTTGAAAATTTTCAAAACAGTGAGAAAATCCAAAGATTAAATGAAATTATAACCATTTCCTAGAAGAGATCATCCTATTAAAAATAGGTCACACAAAACAAAAACTACTCTAATAGTACATTGCAATAAAATAAATTTTTTTTTAGGAATGCCAGAACTACTCAAATTGAAATGAAATAGGACGAAATCTATATTTAAAAATTTTCTTAAAAAAGCTTCTATTGGAATCTCCTGGAAATCCATATAACTGTCCTAAAACAACTCCTAAAGTTTCTCGATTCTATTTCTCAAAAGACCAGAACAACTCCTTGCAACCTCTCTTGTTTTTCCCCACTTTGATTAAGGTTGCTTGGAGTATGAATGGCTATGGACTGGAGTTGAGACTGAAGAGATTTATGAAATGTTTCAAAGAACCATCTCCAGAATTTGCAGGCACTCCCATGTTTCTTGTTGGTACATTGAGTTGGAATGGCTCTATCCTACTTCACCGTGGCAATTTCTCTTAAGCGTCTTGCTTTTTTGAAGTCTTTACTTTAGAACGAAAAAACCTCCTTGCATCCTAGAATTAATTACTTCATATTTCACCACTTACTTTTTACATATTATACCTCAACTTATTGATCTATACATCCCCTCCCATTGACCGCTTTCAACAGAAAATCTTTTGCTATTCATGCCACTTCATTTTGGAATTCTTTACCCTTCTCTATACATCAATCCTAGTTCAAACTACCGCACCAATTACAACATTCTTCATTTCTGTAATAATAATTACTATCAACAGATAATTGACAGGGTTTAAATATCTTGCCAATCTGATATGCATCATGTCATAATATTATGATTGTTCTTAAGGGGATTTAAGTCTCAGAAGAAATTCTTTTTTTATTTATATATATAAGATTCTACTCCTGCATAGCTTTTATAGATAAGGAGTAAATGCCCCACATAAAAAAAAAATCTACATAAGTGGAATAATAAAATTATAATTAAATAAAAAAAAAATATTTGAAGGGGTGATAAAAACAAATTAAAAATATAATGATCATTGGTTTAGTAGTTGATTATAATAGTTTTTAATAATTCACTCTTAAATTAGTCCATCCACTCACTAAAGTTCATCAAATAATGACTAAAACTGACCTCACAATCATTTGAAGAAAAAAACAAAAAATAGAAAAATATTTATACTACTTCTAAAGATAATAAATAAGTAATTATGTAATGATATAAGTTATGGAAGAGAAAGGATTTACTTTTGCTGTCCCAATCGATGACATCTATCTTCTGCCTGTTTATCATTGTAAGGATTAAAATCTATATCATGAATAATAACAGTGTCTGCTGTAGTGAGATTAATACCGATTCCTCCAGCCTTTGTGGTTAACAGAAAAATGAAGATATTTGAATCTTCATTGTAGTTATCAATTAATTCCTGTCTGAAAAAAAAAAAAAATTAGTGGTGTAGAATGGTAAGAACTTGAAACGAATTGTAAAAACAATTTATTATATTTTAATGTTAAAAATTTCTTAAATTTCTGTACAATCATTAATATATTAGTTAGTATGATATTGATTTATTTTTACTTTCACTTAACTACATATGCAATATATAGTAAGGGTACATATTGGGATTGTGAACATTTTCGAATCTCAGTTTTCAACGGAAATACATGTTTAAAGGTATCCTGAGTCTAAATAACAAAGTCTAGCAAAACGGTCTGTGTGTTTGTGTCTGTATGTATGTCATCAGTCTAGCTCAAAAATGAAGTCGTATGAAAGTGAAATTGGATATTTAAGGTTTTTATAAGCTTTCGATGTTACAACATTTTTGTCAAAATCAGCTAACCAGAAGTGGTACTTTATATAATCAATTTAACACAATGGCTCTTACAATTTTGATTAAACTCAATATATGAGTTTATTATTAAGCAGCTTTTAATATAATGTAGGTTTTATTCTTATTGATGTTCTCTATCAGGGCTTAAATGGCTAATTTTTTGGCTACCTCTAAAGTACGTTTATTTTTTTAAATTAGAAATAATTAAACATTTCACATTAATCTTTGATATAAAAAATAGTTAAATATAAAATATGAAAGAATTTGATGATTAACTAAAGGAGAAATAAGAGATCATAACGGATAATAGTTGAAGGAAAAATAATAGTGGTAGAGGAATCAAAGGAATACGAGCTTGCCCGAGCTCACCTGAAAGATTACAACAGGCTTCCATAAGTAACATGAGCTTCATATAATACGGAATACAACAATATTACATTAATATACATCTATGGTTTTCATAAATGCTACCGTTGGTATTATTTAATATTTAAATGTATAGAATACAGCGATATAAAAATTAAAATTTGTATAAATATGTATAAGTATATTTAAACAAATAAAAATGCCCACAATGAATTGTAAATAAATATAGTGTCAATAATTTTTACTTCCATTTCCCCTTTGTCTGAACATACTTATTTCTGCTAAGAGGAGGGTGGTAAGCGAAAGTCATGAGATGCACGCACCAGATTTTTTTTATGGTAATTGAGACTTTAAAATTGGAAATATATAGTTGTCAGTATTAATATTTCAGTAAACTACTTTCTCCATCATAGTTGTAGAAAGAAAAAATGCAAGAACTAATTTTTCCAAAATATATTTAATTTATGAACATTTTATCCAAGACAACTTGCAAGTTAATGAAGTTCAAAAAATAAATGTAGGTATATAATCACCGATCTAAGCTTCTAGTTGAACCATCCAAGCGTAGGTAATCGTGGTCTCTAATTTTCAGGTACTGCTCCAGAATATCCAATATAAATACAAACTGACTAAAAATTAACACCCTATGCCCTTCTTCCTTTAATTTTGGCAGGAGTTCATCCAACTTCTTTAATTTTCCACTTTCACAAATGATCCGATCTTCTAGCTTAAATTTTGATATACACTGAAAGTAGAAATTATAAATGAATTGAAGAATTAAAAAAATAAAATTTTTGAAAAGATCAATAATTAAATAATGTGAGAAAAAGCTACAAGAGCTGAAGATTTCATTCAGAAAAACCATGTGATTAGTAATGCACTAAAGCAAATTTAAATATTTATTTATTCACCCTATATTCCTCAGTTAACTGATGTATTTCGTAATCTGACATATACATCAAGTCTTCATGTATATGTTCTTTATTATCGCCTTTGTAATTATAATCAAAAGACAACCTTTCGGCCATGTCTTTAAGCTGTTCATCCTGAAATAATGAAAGAAATTTGATAGCAACATAACAAAAAATTAAATGTGTCAGTAAAATATAGATACCAAAAGAGAGATAGGAATAATATAATGACATTATTTCAAGAATAGGGCACATTAGCACTTCCCGTTATTTACTATTACAACAGAAAATGAAAATGTCCACTTTCTAAATTTTATTTTTATTGAAAAAGGAAAGTAAGCAAAACAGAAACTTGGTATAAAGATTAAAATCTGGAAGGATGTCACAATGTAATTACCAATCCATAATTAGTTTACTGGGTTTGGAAGCAGGAAAAGATAATTTAGAATAGGAAAAGTATTCTGAAAACAAGGTAAAAACTATTCTATACTATGTCCTCGACATGGCAGATTAAATTTGTTTAATTTCCTTTTTGAAAATATCATAAACATATATTAAAGAAAGTAAGTAATTTTAAATTTATAATGATTTGACCTTTAAATAAATGTTGAATGGATATTATTTACAGAAAATATAATTGGCTGGATTAAAAACAGTGGACAGTAAAACAATGAAAATTAATTTAGATAGGCTATCACGTAAGGTAAATGAATCGATTTTGATCAAAGATATATTTTTTAAAAAATCACCTGGAATAAATAACGACAAGCAAGGGGATGGTTTGCTAACTTTCTCAGTTGCATAAACGATGACATGTAATTATAATTTTCTCGATCATTCTCAGCACAATATTTAATTTCTTGCAAGTATTCATCATATTTAATTTTTTGTTTTTCTTCCAGAGGGCACGTGATCAGAGCTGAAGTCTTCTTTGGGAGATCCTGTAAGACATCTTGTTTTAACCTCCTCAAAACGAAAGGTTTCATAATCCTTTTAGCCAGTTCAACTTGCTTTTGCTCAAATTGTGGAAGATTTTCCACTGGAAGCTTGCTATTTTTAGAAAAGAATGTTTTGATGTATTGTATCTTATCGGCAAACATGTTTGGCATCACAAAGTTCAGCAATGACATCAGTTCCAGTAAATTATTTTGCAAAGGTGTACCAGTGAGAAGAATGCGACGCTTGGCATTAATATTAAAAAGATGTGCATACCTAAAAAACATTAATTTAATGTCTTTAAAATTGGTTATAAAGATTTTTATTGATTTAATTTTATTAGTTAAATTTAATTAAGTTTTATTATTTTATATGAAGATGCAGTCATTTTAAAGATTTTTATTAGTGCAGACGTTTCAACGCAAACATGTGGGTCATCATCAGGGCATGTTTCGAGCACTGAAGCTATTCTATTCAAGTACTCAATTTCAGTACTTGAATACCTTCAGTGCTTGAAACATGTCCTGATGATGACCCACACGATTGGGTTGAAACATCGGCAATAATAAAAATCTTTAAAATGACTGCATCCTATTTATCAACTATATGTAGAACAGTCGACTAACTTCCTTCAATAAGTTTTATTATTTTAATTAATTAATATATTTAATTATATATTATATATATATTTAATATATTTAAGGGGCCGGTATAGCAGAGTGGTTAGCCCGCTATACTAGTAAAGCAAAGATCATAGGATCAAATCCCGGCCCTACTTCCCAATACGGCTGGTCCCCGCGGGAAGTTAGACCATTACCCTCTTAATTGGGGAGGCCTACACGTGTAATACTTGTAAAAACAGGTTATACAAAAAAAAAAAGAAAAAAAAATATATATATATTTAAGATTTAATTAAGAAATACTCAAAACTTACCTCTGTGTATTCATATTTTTTAACATATGAGCCTCATCAAAAACAACGTAATCTAAATTGATAATCTTAAACATTTTCTTTTCTTCATAATTGGTACCAATAATATTGTAAGTAGTTATAATAACATCCATTGACTTAAATTTTTCTTTGAACCACATGACCCTGAGAGCCCTTCTCTCATCGGGGCTGCCATGGTAGACGACCACACGCAAGGATGGGCACCAGCGGGTAAACTCCACAGCCCAGTTTTCTAATGTAGTGGCAGGTACAACAATAAGGTGTGGGTAATTACTCTCCCCTGTTTCTTTTAAGTATGCAAGAAATGATATCACTTGGATAGTTTTACCAAGACCCATTTCATCAGCTAAGATCCCACTCAAATCTTGGGAATGCATAACAGCCAACCAGTTGAGGCCGACCATTTGGTAACTTTTCAATCGTAGTTCAGGGCACAAGAGAGAAGGCTGTTCCTTGAGCCGAGTAGATCCTGCAGCTATAGCTTCTTCAGTAGAGATGGCAAGCTTTAAGCACTTTTCCATCAATTTTGAAACTATTGTCCTAGTTTTTAAAACATCTAATGCCAAGTTAAGGATTTGAGCTCCCATGTTTTTTCCACTTTCTAGTTTTTGTACCTATTAAAAAAAAAAAAAAACGTTATTTTTGTATCTCGTAAAATAGTATGAAAAATTGTTCACACTGCTTCATGAAAATGAACCAAGGATTTTGTAATATATTGATAAATTACTTTTGACTCTTAAACATTTTATCAAAATAATCTGAAGTACATGACTATTCAAATCTTTTAGTAAATTTACATGGATAATGAAAATAAACATAATAGTTAAATTACAGCAATACAATAGCGGTATACACCATACAATAATGTATACCATAAATGTGTATACCATATGGTATGCACCATACAATGATGGTCATTGTATTTATAGTCACAAATTGTTTAAGTGAACCTATATAATAACTAAAAGTCATGAAAATCAAAAATATCAGGTAATAAAGGCCTGACTATCATTAGGATATGTAAATTAATAGTTTAAAAAAATATATGATTAATATTAACTAACTAGTAAATTGGCTAGTACAAACTAATAACTTAAAAGATTAAATTAGCATCTAAAGTTAATAACATAATGTTAATGGGCATAGAAGTGAGGAAAATTTGATATTTAGTTTATTTCGATATATTTAATTGAGTTTTGATATTTAGTTCAAACTTGGAAAAAGAGGAGATTTCCGATTTTTCAACCTAAATAACAGTTAAAAACAATACAACATCAATCAATGTTTCACTAATAAATTTTATTCAGCAAAATTTTGGATTGCTTTTTAATTTATTTTTGTACCATAGTAATATTTCAATAATAATATTCAAGATCAAATAAAATTCACTTTGCAGAGAACAATCTTCAAAGTTTTATAACTCAATAAAAAGAAGCAATGTGATCAAGAATATTTTCAACGTAGATTTCGTACAATAAATTATTGAAAATTCCAATTCAAAACGATTTTTTTCTAAAAATGGCATAAAGATTAGGAGCTTCTTATAAATGAATAAATAATAAAACGTACCATATCTCTCCAGCCTGAAAATGGTCGAGCTTCAATAATGTTATTTACTCTGTTCTGAGTACAAGATGGGACTGAGAGTAGTTCAACTGTGGTAGCTGTATTTAAAAATTCAAAAACCTTCTTTTTTGTCCCAGTCATATAATTTGATACTTCGACATCTGAATCTGCATCGCTACAACATAACAAATAGTATGTGACTAATATATCATCAGGTTAATGTAAAAAGTAATTAAGTACATTTTTGATAGAGCTATATTTTAAGCAAATTTTATTTATGAATTTAGACTTCATTTACCGAAGTGAAAACACAGTATGAGAAGGAGTTAGTCGGGGGGTGCGGTCAAATAAATACTAAATTTTTACAATAGCATTGTAATTGTTATGCCAACATTTTGACCCACTTTGTAGGTCTTCATCAGGGCTACAAAAGATAAAAAATGGTGAAAATAATGAATTATAAACAGATAATAAATAAGAAATAGTTGTCTGATAAAGAAATAATAAGATTACATCAGAGATATAGTGGGTGACAGTAAAGTTAATACTTAATATTTTAATTTTACTGTCACCCACTATATCTCTGATGTCATCTTATTATTTCTTAATCAAACAACTATTAATTATTTATTATCTGTTTATAATTCATTATTTTCACCATGTATCTTTATAGTTTGTAGCCCTGATGAAGACCTACAAAGTGGGTCGAAGCGTTGGCGCAACGATTACAATACTATTTTAAAAATTTAGTATTTACAACACGGGCAATCATTTTTACACCATTAAAAACACAGTAAGTGCATAAAAATGACAAAATCGCTATATATATAGGGAGTGGGATAGCTCAGTGGTAGGGTACTGAGCTTCGAATGCGAAAGGTCCCAGATTCGAATCCTAGCTCATGGCAGAAAAATTATTTATTCTGTTTCATAGGCCTTGGAGTGACCCTCCTGGGGCACACCCATCCTTATTTATAAATTTATCTATAAAGTGGGTACCCCTAATTAAAATAATTAATTAAATGGAAAAATCTGGCGGTTGAGCGTGATCACGGTCAAATCACCTCCTTGCACAACCGTAGACCAAGAAACAGTGCTTTTCCTAAATAGTACTGAACTCAAGACCCTTCATGGGTTGTAGTGGTACAGGTTATATATATTTTAAAGATAGTTACAATAAGAGCACAATCCTCTGCTTTCGCAGAGAGAAAATTCATCAAAGTACTTAGTGATTTAATTTTAGAAAATGTTACTTAATGACTTTTTTTTATAATAGTCCAGTAATATTGTCATGAAAAGTTGCATCAAATGGTGGTAGGTTTATTTTGTTTTTGTATGGGATATGACTGAGGCTCAAAATCCAAGTTTTGGACCTACCAAGGCCAATTATGTTTTACAATTTTTTTTTTTTTTTTATGCTTTATTATACTCTGAATATTCAGCTTTAATAAAAGACCAATTATGACGAAATTAAGCTAACTGCTGAATCTCGGTGACCGAAAAACTAACTCAAGTCAAAGTCGTCACTCAGCCATGTTGGGACTGTGAGGTCACTTTTTTGGGGAGGAACATTGCCTTTTTTTTAATATATAGATACAAGAAAAACAACAATATGCAATTTATAGTGATGTAGAGGGAGGGTTGCACGGAAGGGGGGTCTGGCCCATGGACTATCCTCTTCCATCCTCCCCCTCCATCAACCCTCCTTCAAAATATTAAAATGAATAAATATTCACTTTGCTAACTTATATCAGACAGGCTACTGAAGATAAAAGACAATTGCACGTGGTCAAACATGAAAAATAATTTCAATGAAATATAAAATTTGAAAATCTGTATCTGAACTATTTAATTTACAAAGCCTGTTCTGGTGTTAAATTGTAGCATATTTAATCTAGCTTAAAAATGTGTAGAATGTGTTTTTTGTCGAAACAGGTGCTCCATCATGGATAAAATGGGGAAAATTCTATCTTTATATTATTCTATATTCCATATTTATATTTATATTATTCTATCTTTATATATTCTCACTGATTCTATCTTCCTTATCTCAACATTCCCATTCCTAATAAACCGCATTCTTCTTATCTTTCTCTATCATCAGGAGTTGCTCAGGGCCCAAGCATATCTCCTCTTCTTTTTAGCGCCCATATAAATGATCTTCATAAATCAATTTTTAACTGTTCTCACCACGTTTATGCAGATGATTCCCAAATATATTTCTTATTCTCTCCTTCTGAATTACTTGTAGCATTTGCCAAAATTCACGAAGAACTAGATTGAATCAGTGCCTGGGTAAACCTAAATGAATTAAGGTTAAATGTTACAAAAACTCAGGCCATTGTTATTGGTCCCATCCAAGCCCCTTCTTCGATCCAGTTCCAACTTTTCCACACTATACCTGAATGACCAATCCATTACCCTCTACGCCTCTGTTAAAATTTAAGCATTTTCATTGATCGAACCCTTTCCTGAAGTTACCATATTTCCCATATTGCTCGACAATCAATTTCCACCCTCAAATTATTCCATCGCTTCCACCATCTCCTTCCCAAACCTACCCATAGACTCTTAGTTTCTTCCCTCGTCTTCCCTCACTTTGACTGTGGCTGTGTGGTATCAGAGGTCTCTCAGTGGGTCTTGGCGACAAAATGAAGAGAATTATGACCAGCTTAGGTAGATTTGATGTTGAAACACCGAGACGTTCCTGTGTGTTCCATCTCTACACTGAGTTACAGTGGCTCTTCCCTTCCTTCCGTAGACAATACTTCCGAGGCAACATTTCTTTTTCAGATTATCAACAGCCATTGCCCCTCCTATGCTTGAATGAATAAATGAGAAATCCTTTTAAATATGCATAAATTATAAATTTCCAAAATACCCAGAATATTTATACTTATAAATATTTGGGTGTTACGCTATGTTGCATAGTATGCTATGCAGCTCAAGTCTGGAGTTTTCAGGGATATGACATGTTGAAAAAGTTTCAGAGATTTTTCATTAAGAAATTGTTTTCATTGCCTCCAACGACACCAAATAATATGATTTATTTAGAAACAGCCACAAATCCACTTGAGGTATTCACTTTACAGTTGCATTTTAAGTATTGTCTTCAGTTACTGTGCCTGCCTGAAAGTAGTCTCTCCAGAGTTATCGCAATTGAAATGATTAAATGTAATACCTTTTGGTTTAAAAATTGGTGCAATTTGGCGGAAAGATACTCTTGCAGATTCGACAAGTGTTTGGAATGCTTTTCGTTATGGAAAGATCAGTTGGCAACAATACGGTCTGCAATCACTCAGCAACATTGGGAGTAGTGTAAATTAGTGGCATTGAATTCTAATTTCTATTGTATTTGAGATTTCTATTCTGATTGAGTCATGATCTTAAAATTTTGAAATTCGTGGATGGCTGCTGTTGGAATTTGACAGGGCGCGAGTTAGTTGGTCGTTCAAGCTCAGATGTGAACTCCTTTATTTGAATTACAACCAACGGCTTGACAGGAAATATACGGATTTTCCACTCTGGAACCTACCAGTAAAAGAGGACCTGTTCCATTTTTTGGCTGAATGTTCAATGCTTAGTCAAATTCGTATAGAATTTCTTTGAACAAGCCCAGTTCTAAATGATATCCTAATTTCCCTTCTAAATTCCCCCTCTGTGAACAAATGTTTAAAATTGTCGGTTTTGATCCGTCTAATTTATTTATGGTAAGTTTTATTCATGTTATTGTTTATGATTTCCCTTATTCCCCCCCCCTATGCTTATGATCTTCTCCAAATCAAGTTCTCTGTCTACTCTCTTATCACAAGATCCCGACCTTCTAACCACTATCCTCCTTTTCACAGATCTGTCTCCTTTCAAAATTCCTTTGTTGCCCGCTTCCCTAACTTGAGGAATTCCCTGCCTATAAACATCCGTCATGCCCCTTCCTTATCATATACATTATATATATATATATATTTTTTTTTTTCTATCTCATAAACTTATGAACTTTTATATATATTTTTTATACCTTGTTGTTTCTGTTCTACAAGTATGTTATGCTCATAAAGTTAATTAATTTACATGTTTTTTTAAAAAATGTTTTAATAGGTACTAAGATAAAAACCTGTACCACTACAACCCATAAAGGGTCTGGGGTTCAGTACTATTTAGGGAAAGCACTGTTTCTAGGTCCATGGTTGTGCAAGGAGGTGATTTGACCGAGATCACGCTCAACCGCCAGGTTTTCCCCCCTAATTAATTATTTAATTAAGGGTACCCACTTGATAGAGGCTGGATGTGCCCCAGGAGGGACTCCTGACCCAAGGTCGCCCCACGGCCAATGAAACAGATAAATAAATTTTCTGCCATGAGCCGGGGTTCGAACTCGGGATCTTTGCATTGGAAGCTCAGTGCCCTACCACTGAGCTACCCTGCTCCCTAATAGGTACTAAGATAGAATACATAAATGTTTATTTCTGTATACTTTATTCTACTTTATTTATTTTTACTTGGTGCTCATCTATTAAAGGAATTTATTAAATCTCTTTTCTTCCTATTTTCTTCAACATTTTTCTTTATTTTTAGTTAAGCAGTGATTATTTTGATCCATTTCTTAATTCGGTTTTGTATAATTTGTTAGTTTCATAAGGTTTTTTTAATATATTTAATGTAACTTTTTATTTAATTTAGTTCTTCTAGTCAAAAGTATTTCTTTTGTTCTGTAATATTTTGTTATTCTTATGGGACTTTGTCACAGAATAAAGTTAATTTTCTAAAAAAAAAAAAAAAAAATCTAATAAATAGAAAAAAGAACAAATTTTCCACGTTTCTAAAAATTCCTCATGATACAAAATCTGACTGTAAGATACCACAAATACCTTTCTCATGATTTTAAAAATAAAAAACAAAGACAAGCTGGAAGAGAAAACAAAAAATTAATCAAATCAATATCACAAATTATCAGTAACTTAAAATAAATATGATGTATTTTTAAGAATAATAATAAATTATTTATTACCTATCGTAAACATTATCTGACCATGTGTCGACATCCTCATCATTGATTTCCTTTTTAGCCTTTTTAGCTAAAATAAAAAAAAAATACAAAATTATTTCAGTTTTGTATAATATGGTAAAAAAAAAGTTTTAATCATAAGAAAAATCAAATTTAAAGATATTTAACACTAGATTAATGAAAAACACCAGTTAGATGGGTTTGAAATTCTTAATTAATTCTTTTCAGATTTTAAAAATTGAATTAATTATAAATACATATATTAATATTAACATTTAAAGAAAATGGAAAACAATAAATGGATTATTATTGATAGATAACAAATATGAGCTACTACTATAGCAAGTGTGACAGTAGTGGAACCTACGATGCAGAGTATGTAAAGAGGTATTAACAGATATATTATTATGAAAAATATTAATATACATACACAAATATAGTAAAATGGCATTTTAAAACAGGTTTAAAAATTCATGCAAAGGTACTTGCTGTTTTCATACAAGGGTTTAAATATAAGTAAACATAACAAACCATACAAACATAACAAACCATACATTGCAGTTCATGCCAAATGAAAATAGCATACTTAGGCTATTCAGTAAATATTAGACACTAAAAAGTGACTAATATTTACTCAAAAGGAAAATTTTAAAATGTTATGGATAACTCTGAAAATTGATAAGATGAAACAGTAAATAAAATAAAAAATAATGGATACAATTCTCTTAGGTATGGAAAAAAAAATAACATATGCTAATCAAAACGAACATTACAGTACAAGAACAAGAGTTACTCAAATACTCTTATCTTTAATAGCCAGAGCGGGAACTGAAAATTCACTAATTTGTTAAAAAACAGAACTTTCACAAAGTAAATAATTTTATACATGAATGTACAACTGTGAATTTGTGCACATAAAAATGAAATTAAGACAACAAAAATATCAATGTAATAACTTAGCTTAAAAAAAAAAAAAGTTACATAAAGTTTATATTGAGGGAATAAACAGGGAAACAGAAAAAAACAAATAAAGAATTGATTTCTCCACAATTTATCAATAATCAATAGTTGATTTCATAACAATGAAATAATAAGAGTGAAGTAAAATAGAAAAAAATGGCCATTTACTTCAATTTATATTGGCAATTGTCAATACTACGAGTTGTTTTAATCTAATATTCTCTTTTAAGGAAAGCATCGCTAAAGGATATTTAAAATTAGTTTGGAGCAGATAATTTTTTTAATATAATGAAAAATATGAAATGATTTTCAAACTGGTAAGTAAAATTATTTAGGAGGTTTTTGAACAGTAAAATATAAACTAATTTCACCATAAAATATAATCAATGCTTATTTAGTATTAGTTTTAAAGTCTAAAAATTATTTCCTTGTTCGAAAGAATTCTTGATCATTGTTCTGAATCAGATTTGATTTGTTAACCATGACTATAAGCACTGTGCCCATGAAGAGCTGTTGTTTGCAATTTGATTTAGTTCTGATTATGTCGATTTAAAAGTAAATCAAATAGTTAACATGGGTTATACAATGAAATAAATAATTTTTTTTTACCACTAATTTCAACAAAATTCAAGGATAGTAAGCATTGACAACGCCCAATAGAACATTGAGATACTAATTATTTACTAGAGGAGACATTCTACTGATAATGATGATCAAATAACATTCTAGTGGTGACGATTACTTTCCTTCTAACGTTTGAAAGAGAATAATCATCATGAGAAATAAGACAATTTGAAGGACTTAGCATCAAGACATTGAAAGCTTTTAAATTAGTTTTTTGAACCAAATTATTTCTTTATATTATATAAAAAAGTTTTTGGTAAACGTGTCATATTTTATTTTACATATAAAAAGTGGGAGGGATCGTAATAAAGAACCCAGCAGGATGGACCAAAACAAAGATACCAGTGGGACAGACAGTAACGAAGACAAGTGGACGGACCGTAATGACGATACTAGTGGGACGGACGGTAATGAAGACACCACACTTCTTATTCCCAGAATTATTTCTCCCTTATTATGTTTACAAATTGGTAGTAAGGCGTGATGAATAATATAGATTATTAAAGAAATTAAAAATTTGTCTAAACTGTGGTTTTCTGGTTTATTTTATATTGATAAAAAACAGTTACATTTTGAACTACAGAACGCATGTAAATTACAATTATAAAATTTGAGCAACGAGTAGTATAATTAAATGAATAGATGTATAATTTGTAAAATTGGAGTTGCTCTGCCATTGGGAGAAGAGGGGTACTCACCTAGTTATCTAAAGTAATTATCAACTGCTTACTTATCAGTTAAGCTCTCTTGAAATGTAATATAAATGACTCATGTTTAAAAAAATCTTCTTTATCACAATGGAATGAAGAATCAAGAATAGAAGCAATACACCATCATGACTAACTCGCAAAGTAAGACACAAATAAGAAAGATAATGAAAGAATAATAATTCAGAATAATATGCAAGCATGACCAATTAGAGAGAGGTACTATTCGCCACTGTAGTTAACTTGGTCTTCATCTATCTTTGTGGAACAAGCAAAAACCAGTTGTTCGGTTGAACATCAGTCGATAGTTATAAAATTTGCCTCTTTACCATAACATATTCTGGAATCTAGAAAACTAACTTTATGGTAAATACATCCCTGTGGAATATTCCAATATTTGAAATATAACTATTTTTGTACTATTATAAATATAAAATAAAAAAAAAAAATATATCTCCATTAACATTGAGATTGGTATTTATGATCAATAATTGTAGTGAATTGAATTATTTAAAAAAACTCTATAATTATTATGCATATAGTTGGAGAATGGCTTTTCTTGTCTTTGTTCTTGTAAGCTAAATCAATAAATAAGCTGTAAGTGATTATTCTAAAATATGCAGAAGAGTAAAAACATTGCAAATTTTAGAATTTGTTTTTTTAAACTTATTAAAGATGGAGATCCCCACTTACCTTAAAACAATATATTATCGGATGCTTTATTAAAAAACTAGTTGATGCCTGATTTTTATTTTAATAAATTTGAATAAGATTGTTGGTCTATAAACAAATCAACTACCAACTAAAATTGAAATATACCTTTCTTGTTTCTATGCTTCCATTCAGTACTTTTTTCTTTTCTAGATTTCATTGTCATCTTTGATTTTTCTTCTTTTGATTTATCTTTTATAGGTTCTTCTACTTTGGGTTTGATACATACTTTAGCAAGATGGCCTAATGTTAGACAATTATTACACTTATAATTTTTATAAGAACATTGTAATTCTGAATGATCAACACTTCCACAAACTTTACACTTAGCAGTATATTGAACATTTAGTTTGATTACACTAGTATAAACAGCTTTAATGTTAGGAGGAAATATTTTGGCAATCTTTGGCTCGTTTTCGCCCCCTTCAAAACCCTTTGTTTGCTGTTCCGAACCATCACAAACTGAAAGATAAGCGTAACAATAAATTATACATTATTTATCCGCAAAAATCTACAGTTAACTAATGACTTCAAATAAATGACAACTAAATGTAAGAAACTACTGAAAGTTTTAGACAAAATTTCCTAACAACTAAAATTAAAAATGATATTAATTATATATTTCAAATTGTGTAACGCAATGAGGAAATGACCATGTTATTTTCAACTAATTAAACAATTCAAACTATTAAGAAAGTAAATATCATTGATGTTGATAAAAATAAACTAACTACTTAAATCCTTCTACAACATTTAATATTTCTTCACAAATATTTATTAGAATATGATTTTGAATTCATGATCAAAGAATATTGTTTGAAAGATTTCATTTTCATATTTCCAATGAGGGTAGATATTAAGATCTCTGATATAAGTAGGTATGTAGCTGCTAAATTAAATTATATCTCAACATTTTTTTTCGATTGGTATAACAGACTGCAAAGAAAGATCTTTGACTGAGAGATGTGGCATTTTGAGGACATTTTATTGTTAGTTGGAATTTAGACAGGATGTAGTCCCCAATCCTAACTTATAAAGATCCCTGATTTCCATGGTGCAGCAGTGGGATGTCCCTATCGAATGACCAAAACAAAATTAGTTAAGATCCTCAGATCGAGATGCTTCAGGTAGGTCAGAGTAAGTTCTATTTTTCTTTGATATAGCACACTGAATCCCTTTGAAATCACAGCGTGGTGACCAGGAATAATTAAATCACAATTATTTGATATCTATGAAGAACGTGGGTAAGGACAAACAGTTCGTAAGGGTAGCCTTTAATAGGCTGACGGCCTCATTTAACAAGAAAAGGATAATCATATGAGTACCCTGCATAACATATACTTCTCTGGGAAGAGAAAGCTGATTGTGGGGCAGTCATCTATACAAGTACTAATCAAACATGAGAAAGTTATTGGATACCACACTGCTACATGTGACCTCCTGCTCTGTCATTCCAGCTTCAAGATTGAGTTTGTTAAATTAATAAAAAATCTTAGTTCATTCATTAAATGGGCAAAGTAAATTTATTAAGTTAAATTTATTTATAAAGTAAATTATTTTGGTTTAAAATTTCTTTATTAATGGATAGTGTTTTAAAAAATAATAAAGTCATTATTGGTTATTGGTCACTTTCAAATGTTTTCAAGATGACTGCATGAACTAAAAATAAGCCCTAGAAAACTTCTACTTCTATGAAACAGTAATAAACTATGTAATAAAAAAGTAATAATATTTCTTATCCCAAATTACTTAGAAGTACTTTCCAATATGTGATCAAGATTAATAATTTACTACAAATAAGTACACCAAAAGTTACACAGGAATACAATAGACAGATAAATAGATTCACAATTTATAAATGCCAATCTGTACTCAAATTATAATAATAAATAAAGGTGTGTTTCAATAAAAGGTTTGTCATATTGTCTTCACAGATTCATCATTTGCAAACAGCATTAAGTTTGTAAACATTTGTAATCGATTTGACTAGAAATTAGGGAAGGAAACTTAATACTAATGGCACATTTGCACTTTTAACTGCCTTAATTAAAATAAAAAAATTAAAACAAGAAATAGAAAACAAAGATTTAGGTCTCTAATTTTTTTATAAACTGATAATGCCTTGCAACTTATATATGAATTAAAAACAAGTGACATAAATGGACTGTTTGAAACTTTTTGCAGCATGTCACCAGAAGATTTTGGATCCAATGATAAAAATATTTGAAAATCATTTTTTAAAATGAGACTTGTGTGAAGGTCATTATAGTTTGTGATATCAGTTTAAGTATACACAACTTTCTTCACTGTCCCATTACATTATTTAAAATTTTGTGGCCTTAGTTTTAAAAAGCCTAACAAGTTTGGGAAAATTGAGTTTTCACTCAGAAATCACTTACACTACTAAGTTATCTATCTCCCATATGAACTTTAGAGCCATCGTTGACAAATAAAGAAACTAGCAGTGAGACATGGTTCTAACTACACAAAACTTCTGAAAATAATTGATTTGAGAAGGTTCTAACTGCTATACCAATCAGCTGCTTTACATGTTTTATAGTTATTTTAATGATAGTTAAACATAAAGTTATGTCATTGATATTATTAGTAAAGATCTGTTCATTGAGTATAACATATTTGAATTGGTTATTTCAAAAAACGACATATTTCGCCAAACGACAAAAACGTGATGTATCCATAATTTTTAGAAATATACAAAATTCGAGATGATAAAAAAATCTAAGGTAAACTTATTGATCTAAACCATAGGTGGGGAACCTGTGGCCTCGGAGGCCACATGTGACCCCAACAGTTTTTGCATGGTGTTCATTAATCTAGCACTAGTATTAATTAATATTTAGTTATTTAGATCATCAAAATTAAGTATTAAATTATAAAATTAAATACATAATACAAATTAAGAATGTATGCAAAATGTGTGTGAGTGTATGTATTTACTTATACATAAAAATAGCAACAGTAAAATATAAAAAAATTATTGTACCCTCCATTATCACTGCCTAACCTTTAAGCATCCTCTAATAATAAAAATGTTCTCAGCATTTTATTATATTTTACTGATGTTATTTTTGTTAATAAGTAAATAAACACATACAAACACGCATATGCAAAAGTTCAACTTAATTCTATTAATTTTCAAATTTTTTGTAACTTAAATAATTAAATATTAATTAATTCTAGTACTAGATTACTGAAGACTGCACGAAAGCTAATGGAGGCCGCAGGTTCTCCACCTATTATCTAAACCAGAGGTCTCCAAACCCTTTGGACCTTACGCCTTATTGAGACTTCTACTACTAGTCCAGTAAAGTTACGATAAAAACAGCATTATCCCAACATTCAAGAAATAAAGATGAAACTTGTCAGAAATTGTTCATTCCTCCCCATAATAATTGGTAAAAAGTCCCAAAGAATCCTGCATCGGGTTTTGATGGGGGAATGGAAGTAAGGACAGGAAAATGATATATTTTTTAAAGAATATCTCAAAAATTGTGATGTTTTTTGCAAAGATTGTTCAGTATAATATTAAAGTACTTTAAAATCTCTATAAAAATGATCCTATACATTTTTTTGATATAATCAATGGTTAAGAAGATATTTATGAGATTATATTTATTGTATTTTCACTTTAAGCAAAAATTACTTCAAATCACAAAATTGATGTTGTTCAAGTTTAAATTGACATTAATTTCATATAATTGATATGTGATATGTTATATGTGATAGAAGACATTAAAACTTTCAAAAATTTACCATAAACCATGGCCTGATTAAATACAGAGAACAATAAAACTGAAATTATGTAATTTTTAAGCCAATCACATTTTATGTTGAATAAAAAGCAATAAAAAAAAATTTAATTTAGGCTGCAGCCAATTCCTTCACAGTAAACTAGATTAAATTTAAAATAAATTTAATTTTATTAAATTAAATATAAGCCCGATTCCCAATTTAAATACACGAGGGTAAAATCATTAGTTCTACTCCCGGTCAGTGCGAGTTGCCTCCAGTACACTGACGGGCCTCACAGACCAGAAGGGGAGAGAAGGGAGGAATCTCGGGCAGCGTGGCTTTCCCTGATGGACACTCACCCGTCCAAGTGCTAACCACGCTTGGCGTTGCTTAACTTTGATTATCTCTTGCAAGCGCCTTAGCCCGTACGGCTACTTCAGCCCCAAAAAGTTTTTGCTTTTTATTCAATATAATACGTGGTTGTTGGTATTATGTTGAATAAAAAGCAAAAACAAAAAAAAAAATTAAATTTAGGTTACAACCAATTACCTCATAGTAAACTAGACTAAATATACATTACATACAAGTAAATCTTGTCTATTTAAATACCATTTAAAGACAACTTTTAAGCAGTTAAACTACATAAGTTCGGTTTTTCATAAAATCAAGGATTCTTCACGATTTTTTTTTATAAACTCCTAAGTGTACTGATGATACCACACTTTCAGAAAAACTTTCTTGTTTGATGAGCTTTAAGTTGATATTAATTGAGTTTTGATTTGTTAAGAGTAAAGTTAGATTCATCCCTAATTGCGTTAAACAATATAAAAATATTGGGGTCGATCTCCCTAATTTTACCAAACTAATAATATTTTTACACAATTAGAGAAAATGTAAACTCAACTTAATTAATATAGACTTAAATATCATCAAACAAGGAAGTTTTTCTGAAAGTGTGGTATCTTCAATCCCACACAGTTGAAAGTTAATACAAAAAATTGCGAAGAATCCTTTATTTTATGAAAAACTCAATAAATGGTTATAAAGTAGACAAGATTTACTTGTATTTATTTTACGTTTAATCTAGTTTATTATGAGGTAATTGGCTGCAGCCTAAATTAATTTTTTTTTATTGCTTTTTATTCAACATAAAATGTGATTAGCTTAAAAATTACATAATTTAACTTTTCTGGTTTTCTGTATGTAATCAGACCATGGTTTATGGTAAATTTTTATAAGTTTTAATGTCTTCTATCATATATCATCAATTATATGAAATTAATGTCAATCTAAACTTGAACAACGTCAATTATAGGCTTAGAAGCAATTTTTGTTTGAAGTGGAAATACAGTAAATATAATCTCATATATACCTCTGTAAACATTTATTTTATCAAAAAAATATATAAGATAATTTTTATAGAAATTTTAAAGTACTTTAATGTTATACTGAACAATCTATATGAATGACCTCATAGTTTTTGAGATATTCTTAAAAAACTAAAAAAATACACATTTTTCTGTCTTTTTCCTCCTCCCCTCATCAAAACCAGACACGGGATTCTTTGGAACTTTTTACCAGATATTATAGGGAGAGTAATAAACAATTTCTGACAAGTTTCATCTTTATTTTCTAAATATCGGGGTCAATTCCTAATTTTACTGGACTATAAGTCCTGCGAGTCGTATTCAGACCTCCGCTAAGTACCTTGAGCCATGAAAAAACTTTTTTAAAAAATTTTTTCATGATGAATGACACATCAATTGTGAACTTTAAGAATTTATAAGAATTTAAATTAAAAATTAAAATTTTAAGAATTTAAAAGAAACTAATCATGCAATAAATGTTGTAGTAAACTCGTTTTTGAGTGATTTGTTAAATTTAATATAGTTTTAAATAGTTTTTAAAATAAACAAGCAAAGAAACTTTCACGGAGTGAAGTTTGGAGATCCCTGATCTAAACAATGGTGTAAAGCAGCATTCAATACAAATCTACCATTAAACATTCAGTTTAATACAAGCAGTTCAATAAATTCATTTTTTAAACAAGCTTAAAGTTTAACATGTTTCACTGCTTCTCAATTAAAAAGTTCTTATTATCTAATTAATTATTTTTTTAATTAAACAAAAAATGATCGACAGAAAGTAACCAGACAAGTTACTCCATATGCTAACCTAATTAACAAGTTGAACATTACATTAAAGCCCTGAAGTGAGAATTTATAGTATTAAACCACAAAAATTGATTTCTTAAAAAACTGAAACTTATCTCAATTGAAAAAAAAAGTATAAATAATAACAAACAAAAGGAAAGAAAAAGTAATAACTTTCATTCACAACTGACAAGACTTCATAATAACCTCCACCAGACAACCACATTTTATTTTAAAGAAGGCATGATTCCAAGACACCACTAAAGCAAAGAACCAATACATGAAGCTAATCACCTTAATCACCTTCAAATCATACTAATTGAGGAAAGCTAAGAGGAAACCACACCAATAATTTATAAATGGTAGACTCACGATAAGTAATGGCTGGTGGGTTTTCAGATGTGAAAATTTTTAAAAATTTACAACAAAAATGGATTGCAAACTTAATTATTAATGAAATTAGTTGATGGAAAAAACATAAATTTTGAAAGTAATTATCTACAGGCAATTAAAAAATAACTTAATAATTTTTTCTTTCTGTGAAAAACTCTTTTTTTTTTTTGTCAAAGCATTAAATGCATTTTTTTTGTAACATTACAATTCATAATACATTTTAATCAAATAAAAATAAGCATACTATGTAGCAATACATTCATTAAGATAAATAAGAACATAATTTAATGCATCAATACATTTAATAAGAAACTGTTAAATTTACAGTATGCTATCTAATTATGCATTATGAGAGTTTAATTTATTTTTTCAAATATTTATACCACAGCACATTATCGCCAGTCTACTGCTTCTCTAATAAGCCAATAATGTATGAGTTAAAATTGAATCTAAAACTAATAATGAAATGAAACAATTTGAAATACCTTTTTTCTTTTCACTCTTCTCCTCTAATGTTGATGCTTTACGTTTTTTAATTCCATTTTCACTTTTTTCTCTAGCACTACTTTTGACAGATTTTTTCTTAGACTGACCAGAATTCATAGTCTTAATCCTGGAATATTTTTTAATAGGTTCTGAAAAAAATAATTAATGAAAATTAAAGTAAATATTGCATTAAACAACTAAACTGACCTGGTATACTAAGTCAGTAAATTTGTCAACCATAAATATTATTACCATTTTCCTCTTCTTCTGAATCTGAAACTATTGCAGGACTAATACGATTATCTTTTCTCCTAATAATACTGTCTTGGCTATCAGAATCAGAAACAGAGTGTACACTTGAAATCGTTCGAACACTCTCTATTTTTAAAAAACTAGCCTTTTCTTCTTCCTCTTCTTCTTCTGCCTCATTTTCTTTCTTGAGTGACTCTACAAAATAATAATAAATAGATTAAATAAAGTTCATTAATATTTATAACATACAAGGGTGACAAATCACAAAATAACCATTATCAACAAATCACAAATTAAACGTTATCAACAAAATGTAATTAAATATTTACAGCTTACTCAAAGAGCTTGCCAATGAATGAGTATAAACAAAATCTATAAAAAGAAAAAGATACAGCTAAATATGTTTTTTATGCCAGTGATTGGGTTATAACTTAAATATTATGTATATAATAAAAACAAGAACTATTCTCGGTATCATCCTAGATCCTAAATTATACTGAAGTCTTTATTAAGCAGAAGTTAAAAGAAATACAACAGGTAAGATGTGCTGCTGTATTGAGCCAATTCATAGTGCTTTAAACCAAGAGTTATACACTGGATATACAAGGCGATAATAAAACCTAGGGTACAATATGGAAGTATTAAGAGGTGGGTATCAGTAGATTAGAGTTGAAACAATTATGGTATTTTATTGAAATATGACCTCGATACAAATTAAAATTAATGATATATTTGCTATTCAATATTCATACAAAAAGGATTGCTGTGCAGATTGATATGGAGAGTAGTATGATGATTAGTTTTAAATTATTAGTTCTGTTTTATAAACTTGACATAGAAAAAACATTTACGAGAGCTCAGCAAGTTTAGTTGTATATGATCTACATTTTGTCTGATTTTTCTCTTGCCGGCATTGTTTTTAGAATAGGAAAGCTATAAAGTTTCGTGGAAGGGGGAAGGGAGATTTTAGCGTCATCAACTTTGGAGGGAGGGATGGAGGAGTACCCTTGAGCAGGGGTGCCCAGAAGGGGGTTTCATAGCACTAGTTGCGCCATCTAAATTTTAAAGGGGGGGGGGAAATTTAGATGGGATTTAGAATTTTTGAGGGAGGCACATTTCGACGAGGTTATGAATTTTCGGAATGAAAAGTCTCAAACCTGCAGACAAAGGAAATACATGCAACAAACTGTAGCAAGTGTAATATATTGCCTAAACAAATATATCGATTTCGGTGACTTAAAAGGAGATGTTAAAGAAAGCATTTTACTGAATCCGATCTTTTGGTGAATGGAAGTCAGAATCGATTGAATGGAAATTTATGGGAAAATGTTGAGGATGACGAAAATGGGCAGGAACCAGGAAATTAATTTTACTAAGGAAGGGAGGAGAATTGATATTTCCATTAATCCATTAATATTTCCATCGGACCTTGATGTTTTTAATCTTTGAAAGGAGAAGAGGAAAATTACATGGGATCGAATGGCATGAAAATATAAATTAACTAGTCTCACATTTCAATACTTAGCTTTAATTGCAACAATTTATTTATTTCTTATCACAAGAAAGTGTCAATTCCATTACCATCAGTCAATAAAAATAAATAAAATAAAACTTATTAGAAGGAACTTCAGAAAAAAACTAATTAAAAAGCAATAAAGAAAATCAGTATCGAATAAATTATTAAAAATGATCAAAATGAATCAAATTTCTCAACATAAAGAACTTTTAAGAAAGAAGGGAAAAAATTAAAATTTGATTAATGATTGATAACTTTGGTTGACGAATTCTCCATCCTCTAGTAGATAAATTTTTATTTTTCAGTTTATTTTTTTTCTACAAAAATATAGATTTTGGATAATCAAATTTCAATATAGATATATATCTAAATTTAAGAGTTTACAGGAAACTCTAACATGGTATTTAACAGCTTAGACGATATGAAGGAATGTTTAATGAAAAAGGACTTTATTTTTAAATTTCAACTGTTTCCGAGCGTATAGGTCCGAAAACGGTTGAGGATTCGGAAAAAAAAATCTATAGAACATAATTTTTATTTTCACTTACATATATATGTAATATATAGTAATGGAAAGTATTGCGATCGTGAAAGTCTTCGAATCTGAGTTTTAAACGGAAATACACGTTTTGAGGTATGCTGAGTCCAAATAACCAAGTCCAGCAAAATGGTCTGTGTGTCTGTAAGCAGTTCAGCAGTTCGTTCAAAAACGAAAAGTCCTACGAAACTTACGTATTTAAGATAGGTATATGCCTTAGATGTGACAGCAACATTTTCCTTAAAATAGGCTAACTGGAAGTGCCACTTTATATCAACGCTGAAACACATTTCTACAATTTTATAAAAAACGGCTCAGACGATTTTGATTAAACCCAGTGGATCACTGTATAATTAAGTGGTCTTTAATATCAATCAGGTGTTATCTCCATTGATGTCACTTTAAAGGGTTTAAATACCCATGGTTCATATACGGTTTTCTCTAAAGTACGTTTAATATAGTTTATTCTAAATAATTAATCATTTTACATTATTAAGTTACAAAAAAAAAAAATGCTAAATATAACTTTCGAAAGAATTTGATAATTGAATAAAGGAGGAAAAAGCTTATCCAGGTTGAAAATGAATCACTGGAAATACTAGTTAGAAGATATACGTATAATATATATCGTTGAAAAGCGAAGAGTTTTAGAAAAAACAATATCAAATATAGAAAGTTATAGAAGGCAACAGAGAATGGCAAACAATTATAAACAATAATATTAAAAACTAATATTATTTAATTAAAATCGCGTGTTTTTAAGGAAATTGAAAGAAATTTTCTTACTAAATGTAAACTCTAACATTTAAATGTTTGAAAAGGTATTTAAACTCCACGGACAAAGGCAATGACACTGTTTAAGATATTATTTCATTGTACTTGTGTGAAAGAAAAAGTGAAATATAAAAATATTTCATGGATATGTTTATAACCTACCTTAAATATATTAACTGTAGTTTAATAACTCTAGATATGATATTATATTTAAATAATAAGGTATTTATCATCCGTTTGTTCCGAAAAATCATCAATTAACTTTTTAATGATGTAGAGATGGTTGACCGTGATATAATATGTGGAGTTGGTCGGAGGGGGGGGGGGGAGGAGACGAGGGGAGGAGGGTCAAATAAATATTAATTTTAAAAAAATAGTATTTTTAATTGTTTCGCCGACGTTTCGACCACGACCTATCCACTTCCAATTAGTGTGACAACTTTTGACCTAATAGCCGCCTACATCCCTCTGCCACACCATTCAGTGCTCATAAATGGCATAGTTATAGTGCTATAATAACGTTTTTAGTACATTATTTTGATTGTACTAACGGAAAAATATACAATAATTTAATTGTCCAAAATAATATTTATTTATTTTTTTCAAAGAAATCGAACAGTCTTGAGATGTTGGCAACATCCCGTCCGTTACAAGATGTGTAATTTAAATATTATTTGTTATAATAAAGTTCAATTACAAGTAATAAGAAAAAACCGTAACTGTTGATGACTAAATTCATTAAAATACGCGAAAAACAGTAAAAATAAAATTATTGGTATTGTGTTTCGAATTTTTAGAACAGAAATTTCTTTTTAGCGATTTGTATTTAAGTTGTTAAATTTAGTAAATATGTGTCCTATAAAGCTGTAGTAAATTGTGCACGCTCTTAAATTAATTATTTTAAAAGTTCGAAATTATAATGGTTTTCGGAGCAGCGCAGGGAACCCACAAGGCTTACAAGGGCGGAAAATAAAGATTTTTTATTTTAATTAAATAGCTGATAATATGGAAAATAATTTGAAATACCCGACCTTTTGCAAGATAACATGTCTAAATTGACTGGACTTATATACATCGCAGCGATAAAGCTGTTCTATAAAAAATTAAAGCTGATAAAATGTGCAACGATATCGATGATGTTTATTTATGTCTTAATCCGCATAATAATCGAGACATCCTGGCTTAACATACAATAATTTTGAGAAAAAAAAAACAAACAATTGTTCTGTCGCATGTTGTTATCTTCGTTTGGTTAGCTAATTCTTAAATTATTCAATCTACGCTGAAGAAATTTGTCAAATAGAAATATTTCCTCCAAGAGTACATATTATTTTACTGTTTTATCACCACATCTTCAAACGTTAGAGCAATCATAAGATTCGAATGTGTAAATTCCGAGATTTCGCAGAAAAAATAAACCTTCGTATGTTTTCTTATCCTATAGTCTTAGTCGTTGAGTAAAAATAGAAACATTGATTCAACTAGTGTAAAATGGACCATAAATAATACCAGAAAGGAAAATGTTCACAAATCAATTATAAGTATCGTAATACATGTAGTATTATATTATTCTACTCAATTTTGTATTGATTATCGCTGATTTAATGGAATAGCATGTCTTGTTTTACGGCGAAAATAATTATATTGACGAATATAATAGAATTTCATATAAACAAATATATATAAATAACAACAACTAACCAACTAATACAATTTAATGTTGTGTTAGGCTAAGCGTATACCCCGCTGAGAGATGGAATAGCTAAGCAGTAGCCATGGCAACTGGGTAATTAGAAGCCAATCTGTAGCAAGCGGTCAGGGCTTCTCGATGACTTAAACCATCTTCACAGCCGGGTCGCTTAATGTGGTCCGAATATTCATTTAAAAATTAAACTCTATTAAGGAATTTTAAAGTTTTTAAAAAAAATTGATTGGTCCACTCTGGACCCCTCCCCCTTTCAAAGGAAGGTCAAGTTACATGTTTTTTCTTAATTGGGTACTAGAATGAATTTTTTATTTGTCGTTGAAGATTAGGTTAACAAATAAATCGCAAAAAGTTTGGAATTTTACTGTTGTATATTCGCAATGATAATTACTGTTAAACATAGATATACTTATGAACACCCGTTACAATCTATCGGGGAAACAACAAACCAGACCTTGTTCCCCCATCTGTGGAGGTAAAACCGAAATTACAGGTGATCCCAGCGATTGTCCCTCAACCGCATCACTGGTATTTAAAAAAAACGACTTAAATTAAACATAAAAAAATAAATATTAATAGATCGATTATAGATAAATTTGCTTAAAAAAACTTGTTAGTAAGATTGATCATTTATTCTTGATAAAACTTAAAATGAAAGAATA